AAGGGAGACAGTCATAGGGGGCGTGGCCAGGCTAAGGGAGACAGTCATAGGGGGCGTGGCCAGGCTAAGGGAGACAGTCAGACCCAGGACCACATGGGGTTGAGCAGAGAGCTGAAGCCTAGGGGTGTGCAGGTGCACGATGACCCCTCCACGGTAACTACAGCTCCAGGCTTCTGTCTCACTTGCTGCCAGTGCGCTCATGTGCATTCGCACGCATTCACATGCCTGCACACAGACACACCCCTTGTCCCGGCATTCACCTCTTTTGTCAGGTGCCAGGGGCGTGGCCAAGCTGCTCCTCTGCCTCTCCTGCAGCTCCGAGGGGGGGAGCCCAGCACATTGCACCCTCCTCTGCTGGGTCACCATCTCCCTGTGGAGAGGCAGAGCATGCGGTGAGTCTCAGCAGAGAAAAGGCCCATATGATCACAGAGAACCCCAGAGAGAAAGGGGGAGAGAAAGGAAGAGTGAGGGAGAAAGGGAGAGAGTGAGAGGTGTGCAGTGTGAAAGAGAGAAAGGAAAGGAGAAGAACCGGAAACCAGAGGGAAGGAAGGTGTTCTGGTCCATGTCCTATTGCATTCACTGAAACAAACATGGCGGCAGGGAGTCTTGGCGATACTCCCTACTGATCTGAGAGAGAGGGCAGGGGCAGATGGCTGGGCCGCACTGCAGGCCGCACTGCAGGCTGCTCTCAAGGGCCTCACGCCAGGAGTCACGGGCTCTCAGTGCAGGACAGGACAAATCCCTCAAGTTTTGGGGGGGTCAGCTTAGTTTTGGCTGCTGTAGCCTGTGGCCGGCTGAAACCCCTTTGTTGACGGTCAAAGATGGACTCAAACTGGTCCCTTCAGCAAAGAAGCAACACAAGGGCACCATGTTCACTTCGAACGACGCTCGTGGCTCTCGTTTTGCTGTCACGGACGGTAATGTGAACAAACTGTTCGTTCTGTTCCCTCGCAAACGACGCCTGGGGTTAATGGAGCATGACAACGACAGCCCTGCTCAGCGGGGATCGAATCTGGTCCCCGCAGTGAACAAAAACCCAAAAAACAACAAAAAAAGGGGGCGCAGCTGGCAAGGCGATGTCCGAAAGCGCTCCAGAAATGTCCCCCCCGCCTGACAAAACAGCAAACAGCATGGGTAGCACTGCAAAGCCTTGAGTCAGCCAAACCCACGGTCCCACAATGCAACACTCCCAGGTGACATTCTGGCTGTCGTCAGCAGGGAGGGTAATGAGGCCGAACGCCAGTTACATCATTTTTACCCCACCCTCCTGCACTGCCCTCCCCTGAAAAAGTATCGCTCAGGACAGAGAGGTAAACGCTACAGGCTTCCTTCAGAAACATAAAGGAGTATGAAGCCAGTGTTTCAGTCATTTTTAGTACTTTTATTTCATGTTCCATATAAAATATTTTCAGGCCCCCAAAAATCAAAAAGCAAACAAATGTAAAGCATACAAAGGTGCATAAAGAGGCAACTGCGAGGATGAACGACAGAACCTTTCAAAGCTCGTTAGATGGGTTACAGATTGTCCCAAAGAGATCACTGTGGACAATCTATCTTCCCTCACACCTTGTGGAAAGAGATTCTCTCTCAAGCCCTGAGCACGTGATACATGTGGAAATTGACTGCCGTGCAGGGAATTCTGGGATAGCGATCGGCAGCTGTGAAAGATGGAATGTGTTTGGAGGCTCTCCCTGGGGGGCAGTGTAATGGTTGGCCCCCTCGCTGAACAGGACAGTGACGGCATTAAGGGTTAGAGCACTGGAAGAATCTAGGGGTGCGCTTTGGGGGCCCTGGCTGGACACACGTTTCCAGCTGCATTTATCCGGGTGTTCACAGAACTGAGTCCATGCGCGTCTCACAGCTGTGAGGGGGTGTGGAAACCGGGAGGTGCGCACGACCCAGCTGGAGCCAGCTGATACGATGCAGGCCGGATATGGAGGGGGCCACATCAAGCCAATGTCACCCTGAGAGGACGAGCTCAGGTTCCAGGCACGTGGGCGACTTGCCGGCATCTCCGCAGTGCCCCCAAACCCCCGAACACCTCGGAGCCAGATTCTAGCAAACCCAAAGCAACATTCCCAGAAATTGCCGGAGTTCAGCAGCAGAAAGCAAAATGCATTTTTAATTACGCCAGTCCAGTGGGGGTCCCTCACCTTGTCTGTCAGGCTAAGCTCCATCCTGTCTGCAGTTTTGGGGCGGGGGGAGGGGGTGACCCTCCGAATGCTCCCATCATCTCCTGAATCACAATTTATTCCGGAGTGACAAACGTGACTGGGCGCCACTAGGATTGGGATGCAGGTGGCTACCTGTGGCCATTGGGATACCGGGACGACACAGGGGAACAAGTGTTCGACCAGAAGTGTCAAATGAGAGGAGTCCGAGGAGGTCTTGCTACAAGCCCCTTGTCACTTCACCCCCCCCCCTCCCCCCCCGCACTCATGCTGACACCTCAGATTTAAGCAGAAAGCTGTAACATCACTCGTAGTGTCACGCTGCTGTTCTGCCCGCTGATAAATTTCAGCTTTCGCTTCAGCTTCCTGATACCAGAGCGGTGGGACCAAAGAAAAGTGCATCTCTTACAATATTAATGACAACACAGAAAAATGAACTAGAATTGTTAGCTGGGTCAAATTAGCTGCCATTATCACTGACAGCTTGCTACAATGGTGGTACTTCATACAGCTGCAGAAAATTAAAAATATTTAGCGGCTACAGACCTTGTGTTTGTCACAGAGAGAATAAGAAGGAGACACAGATTCCTTTGATTATTAACTACAAAATTTGCAGGATTCTTTAGCAGTACAGTTACCTAATTATTCAAGGGCTTGGAAATAAGCAGGCCTAATCATTAATTAATCACAATTATTCATTAGGTTTCACACATAATTTTAAGGAGCAGTGAAAAAAAACCATGGAAAAAGCAGAAATGAGATTTACTTTTATGTTTTATCAGAGCAAACACACCTGCAAAAATCTCTCAAACAGAATTAATCAAGTTAAGATATGTCTGGTCATGGTCTCAATTCAATCAACAGTTCAATAGAGTGGAATTAATTAAGAGCTTGGCGGGAAGGGAAATCAGCACACACAGCGAGTCTCCGGGGACACGCCAGGAAAAGCGCTTACAGCAATTTGAACTATTAATCTGCCTGTTTATTCATATCCTGCACTATAACCTACTGTTTTTGTAGCGATCCGAATTGATGAGATTTTGTCTTGTGCCATGCAGCCTTCAGGGGAATGAGGTCCCGAGCTGAAATGCGGACCTGTCGGGGCGCTGCGCCCTCTGGCAGGGAGATCGCCGTGTGCTGTACGCTAATGAAAAAGACAAGACAAACGCAAATCCTCCCCTTCCAGCGATGTGCAGAAAGCCACGGTGTCTGAGTCACTCTCCCAGTACCTCACTCTGGGTAATGCCCAGATGTGCCCCTGTCCTGGAGTCTGGTTCTCCAGTGAGATGAGCCAAGACTCCAGTATGGTGGGACAGGAAGGTGAGGTGAGGAATGGCTTCATCCCAGTATGGACACAGTAGATCTCTGAGAGTAGCCATGACAGTGACCAGTGCTTTTCAACTGTTCTTCTTGGCCTAAGAAAGGGTGGTAATACAAGCACAGCCGCACGGACACCAAAGGGTGGATGTGGATCAGTTAGCTGAGCTGGGCATTGAGGTTCCGACCCTCCCATGTTCAGCTTGGGGACCACAGACATCCTGCAAAAAGCCCAGATGAATGGCTACATACCAGAAAGGAATATGGAAGCCATCTGGGTTTTTTCGCAACTTCAATACCGGAGCTACTATGAAGTCACAAGAGTGCAGAATGTGTGTTTCACTCTCCTATTTTCATGAAGTTGAAAACACTCAACATGAAAAGAGAGACTTTGTGTTGCTAGGCTGCCATCAGCGGGTGCGTGTGCAGATCTGAAGCAGCGATCTGCGGGCTCCTATAACAACCCACATCCCACACGTCTCTGTAATTCACCAAGGATGAGGCTTCAATGCACTGCAGAACATTCTCCATTAAGCTGTTCTACTACTAGTTCGAGTTACATAAGAGCCACACTCCATCCATGCTAATTAGCCGCTAATGGAGTCAATCTCTCTCTGGCGAGGCGGTTCAGGGTGGACTTTCAGAACGGTCTGGCTGAAGCCCCCACTTGGAAATGGATTCGGCGCCATCAGGGATCTGCTGCTTGCAGTGGGACTTGGTGAAAGCCCTCCCTGTTGGCCTCTGACCAGTTCGCTTTGTGGCAAATTGCACGGCCCTCATCATCGCTCAGGCATTTAGGCCAGACTAACACAGCCTCGACTCAACTGACAACTTCAATCTGCTGGACTACAGTTCAGCTGTACATTGCATCTTTAACCAATACAAACCAATAAAAAAACCTGTCCCCAATGAGGTAGCCAATTAGCCGCGAGAGGTGGGGTTTCCACATCCAACTTTCTAAAAAAGTCATAGAGACTTTCCTCAAGATCTCCAGAATAAACGCCTTACGCCTCCACCACACAAAACAGAGAGAACCACCACAGACACGAGGTGGAGGTGGAGTGGAGTTCCGGTGCACCATTAAGGGAAATGATGTAAACGTAAGCAGGTCAGCCTGCCATTTTAGAAGGACACCTCTTTAGCATCAAGGTGCCACAAACACATAGTCTGGGAGAAATCAGAGCTTAACATCATGACCCTACTGTGTTCTTTTTTATGAGATCAAGGAGTGAAGCTCTTCACTGTGGTTTGATGAACACCGGCATTATCGACACTGCGTCTCTATGTTCGTTGGATGTGCTGAACACCGGCACCTCTTTGAAAAGCACGAGCACAATGGTGCAGCAGATGTGATCACACGAGGCCTGCTGCGTATTTCCATTCTGCTGCTGATGCTCTTTAGATGTTAATGTGTTATTTACATGCAAATGGAGGGGGGCTTCGTGCCCGCCAGCGGCGCCGGCCCACACTGGCACATCACCATGTGAACATCCCAGTAAAGGTATTCAAAATCCTATTTTCGTTTTTTAAAACGATCCAGTTCTTATTATTTTGCTAAAAACCCACAGCTGCAAAACAGCACAGAGGATGGCTTGGAATGGAAATGAGTGAGAATTATAGCAATCAGACATTCCCTCATTTTGTAAAAAATGCAGGAGGCACAGTACACCAAGTACATCCAGATCCCCCCCCACCCCACAAAGAATGGGTCTTATTCTTTTTCATCCTTCAGAACGATCATAAAAGTCCACTACAATGTAGCTGAGATCTTCTTTCAGCACCCACTTGCAGAGCCCTGGACCCCAGGGTCCTGCCAGAGAGCCGGGTGTCAAGAACCAGCCAGTTCGTAATGCCGTATATTGGAAGTCAGTCCTACATAAGCGGGTGAGAGAAAAACAGCACAAACTAGACTTTAAGCCCGACTCAGTTCAGCTTGAAGCAGTGGTGGATTGTTGACAGAATACGGCATCTTCAAGGAGTTTTACACAAAACTCAACCATCTGGGTTTTCATCTCGGTACCTTGCCGACTGACTGCTAAATGCAGGGCTCTTGAATCGACTGGGAAATGGAACATCAAAGGATGGGGCCCGATTGGGCTCCATTCTTCTCAGACGACAGACAGGCACACGCATGCGTGCACTTACACGCGCTTCGAGGGTATTTCCTGTGAAGTACTTCTTGCCAAAAGCCGTCCGCTCCTCGAAAAAACTGCGAATCGGAGAGACACTTATTTCCTTTAACTTCTTAGCAGCTAATCCTTTAGATGCTATTCAGTGTAAACAGGTGGAGTCTGAAAGGAGACTGTGAACCAACACGGAACTTCACTCATACTATTTCTACTTATCTTAATTCTTTCATTTTAGAGGCTTGAGAATAGTTCTCAAAACACATGAAGAGTTATAAACAGGGAAGTGAGCATTCCTTAAGGCATTGCTAATACTGAGACATTCTCCGTACTCCTGGGTTACATTTCACCACGGCAAAAAAGCTAACCCACTGGAAGACTGGAGTGGAAGTATCTCCACTGAGCTCTCCGGAAGGTTCTGCAAACAGGAAAAGACAATGACCGCAGTACCCTAAAGCGATGGCAGTGCTGCTGCTCAGATTAGTCACAAAGACTCGTCGCTGCTGCCATCCCAACAGCTGTGTCTTCTGCAAACCACACCCGGTGCCAAACTTGTCGATGTCACTGTCATTCGGCAAACCGTACCCGGTGCCAAACATGTCGATGTCACTGTCATTCGGCAAACCGTACCCAGTGCCAAACTTGTCAATGTCACTGTCATTCGGCAAACCGTACCCGGTGCCAAACATGTCGATGTCACTGTCATTCGGCAAACCGCACCCGGTGCCAAACATGTCGATGTCACTGTCATTCGGCAAACCACACCCGGTGCCAAACATGTCGATGTCACTGTCATTTGGCAAACCGCACCCGGTGCCACACATGTCATTATCACTGTCATTCGGCAAACCGCACCCGGTGCCAAACATGTCGATGTCACTGTCATTCGGCAATCCGCACCCGGTGCCAAACATGTCGTTGTCACTGTCGTTTGGCAAACCGCACCCGGTGCCAAACATGTCATTATCACTGTCATTCGGCAATCNGCACCCGGTGCCAAACATGTCGTTGTCACTGTCGTTTGGCAAACCGCACCCGGTGCCAAACATGTCATTATCACTGTCATTCGGCAATCCGCACCTGGTGCCAAACTTGTCGATGTCACTGTCATTCGGCAAACCGCACCCGGTGCCAAACATGTCGATGTCACTGTCATTCGGCAAACCGCACCCGGTGCCAAACATGTCGATGTCACTGTCAAAACACAGCAGGCGTCTGGCTAACGCAATGATTCCTCTGGAAAGATCCCAGACACTCAGTCCAGTCCAGGGAAGTTTAGTCCTTCATGAGGACAATGAGTGAGCCTCCACGTGGATTTCCTTTGGCTCTCTTCTGTGCTCCAGTATTGCCACATGGCAATCTGGATTTCCATAACTCTGGAATGAGTTTCTTTCCAGTGTGAGATTAAAGCTCAGAATGGAAGTCCATCAAGCAAATGCTTCAGAAATGCAGCCCTCCCAAATTTCTCCCTGAATAAAAGAATGTGCAACTGTAACCTGATGGGCTGGCAGATGCCAGGTCCTACTGCCAGCTCAGGTGGGAAAGGCGGAATTGTTGAGTTTTCCCATTTTAGTTTAATAAAAACGGAGAAATAAAAATGGAGACCCCCCTCCCTCCCTGAAAACTGCTAGATAAATAAGTCCCTACTGTGTAGTTATGCTTAGTCTTGCCTGTCTACGTCAATCTGCACGGTCTTACAACGTCATGTCTTATCTGCCATGTCCATCTGTGTACCGAAATGTCATAATGGGGGTGGGCAGGGGTGGGCTGGTTTGGAGTGGCTTCACTTAATGTATGGATCTGTTGTTCAGATAATTAAAAATAAAGTTGTCCTCCGAAGGCGGGGTAGTTGGGCATTTTTATAAATAAATAAATAAATAAATAATGAACAAAAGAGGGAGAAGGTAAAACAGATGTACCAACAGGGGCCATGGGAAGAGCAGAGGTGCAGCAGAATTACACCCAACTCTCCATTCGGACCCATTTCACTCTATATAACTTGCTCTCTGGCCGCCTGTTGTAGTGGTGCCCAACCGCACCGAGACAGAAGACAGCCCGGCGGGCTTCTCCAGGGGAGATGCAGGAAGGACCCACAATTACCAGCAGCTTGGAGAAAGGCGGAGCCCACTGAGTACTTGCTTAATGCATATTCAGTCAATATGCCATAGCCGTTAAGTAGTCATTCTGTAGTCATTTAACTGCCACTCAGGTAGCATTCAGTAATCATTTAATGGTTATTCAGTAGTCATTGATTATTGTTTAGTTAGCTTCCAGTAGTTTACTGTAGGCCGATTTCAGATGGGATCATTTCTCAAAACTACATCACAGATCGTCAGCTTGATTACTTAAGACATCCATCACATGAAAGCTATTGGTGTCAATGAGAGTGATACTGGCCAGGAGATAGAAACCACGCAGAGTGGATTCCAAACCCCAGTTCACCCTGTGTTTCGATACATCCGCTGACCACTCTGCACATGAGCCCAGTGACCAGAACCAGTACAAGGGCTTAACCATAGCCTCACCTGCTGTACTGACCTCATGCGGCGACACCTTTCACCTCATTTGCAGGAGACAGAGAAGCACGCTCACCTGAGCTTCCCCTCAGCCAGCAGAGCGTGTGGCGGGTTGTCACACAGCAGCCGACCGCTCTCCACATCCAGAAGGTAGATGAACACGCTCTCCTGTGACAGAGACATGTTTCAGGTTACCACGGCGACCAAGAAAGGGGAGGGGCAGCTTGGCTGAGAGACGAAGCAGCATCACACACGCAAAACCACTATGAGCACTGAGGAGAATGCACACGAAAAAACACAACGGCGTCTGCATGAATAACACTTCAATTATGCGGAAAGCCACAGAAATCGAAAAGCAGCACTCACAGTAATTACACGAATAAACAGGAAGCTCCAACTGTAGCGGCCCTCTGTGCACTAATCTGAAGCTGAAGTGATGCTGTTTATTGGATTTGCTTCGGTTGGGCTTGTGCGATGTGTAGGAGGTCTCAGTCTTCTATCCAACTATGACCTTCTGAGATACTTCTAACTCGATCGGGGACGTTAACCCATGCGTTACAGTTCCGTTGGACGCCACCCTTTGACACTTCCAGGTCACAGACTTCAAACACAAAGTGTCTGTTTAGCTGGAATGCACTGGTCCCTGCCCTACAGATGAAGGTGCAGTGGCCACCATATGTACCATGTAGGCGTGGTCTGCAATTTGCTGGTGGATGCAACTGCCGTGCTCCTGGGCCTTCTGCCTCATGACCTGTCCCTGCGAGAGGTGCTACAGGCCCACAAAATCCACCCGCTTGGGCCACTCCTTAAATAACCCGTGTCAAGAGTGGTGACCCCGGCGCCCCCTGCAGACAAAAGGACGCCGGTGACGAGAATAATGAGCAGAGATCCGTTCTGCACAAGCAGTCCTCTCTATTTTTACTCCTAAGCCTCAACATTTGTCAGAAAATGTAATATTTTACCTCTTTTTCCTCTCCTAACATGGGTAAAGGCAGCGAAACGGCAAGCAATATAATGAGGCTTGGTGGGGGTGGGCCCCTAACCCCCCCGCCAGGTCAGATGTGCAAGTTCTCCATAAGTTCCAGGGCTGCCCGGCGATCAGCTTACCAGTATGTGGCTGAATGAAGCCCCCAAAGCCTGTGCGTGTGTGTGTGTATGTGTGTGTGTGTGTGTGCGCGCGCATGCATGTGCGTGCGTGACAGCGAGCCGCAGCTGCGACCTTCCAGCTCGGTTGGTGAGCTGTCCATCTGCAGGAGAACGCGAGGCAGGGGAGGTGCAAATGTGATTATTCTTTTAATTTATCAGGCTTGTCAAGAAGGAGGTCCAGGCTGCTGAAAGGGGACTGATCTGTCAGCCCACAGAGAAGAAATCTGGGTGCCAATGAAATATCAATCCTACAACCATCCCCAGAACTTCATCAGATTAGGTCCTGCACATGTTCGGCTACAGGTGAGCAGAAACATGCAGGGTTTGTGAGGAAGTCCAACATCAGAAGGTGAAACAATCACACATTTGAAGAACATACAGTAGAAATGAATTTCCGTTCCACGTGAGAGACTCACTGAAATCCTGTGCAACATGCTGGAAATTACTTTCACTTACCCAGTAGTTACCAGATGAGTTACCATGTGCAGAGTCATACGGGTAAACCGCGAGGAGGGTACGTACGGGGGCAGAGTCATACGGGTAAACCGTGAGGAGGGTATGTACGGGGGCAGAGTCATACGGGTAAATTCAATTCAATTCAATTTTATTTATATAGCGCATTATCACAACATTACATTGTCTCAATGCGCTTTACATTTCTGCCTCGTAAGGACCCCCCATTGAGTAAGCCAAAGGCAACAATGGCAAGGAAAAACTCCCTAAGAGGAAGAAACCTTGGGAGGAACCAGACCCAAAGGGGGAGCCCATCCTCCAGGGGCCGGC